TTTGAACAGGTAGTCTCTGAGCAAATAAGGGCTCCAGCGAGGTGTGGCAGAATGAAGAAAAATCTGGAAATCCTCATGCCTGGAAATCCTTCACATGATAATTGCAGAATCCCTTCCAATAACTCAGAAGAGGCATTTGTGATAGCTGGGCTGTCTAATACAATGTTGTCAACTGGCCTATCTTGGTGGATGGTCTTAGAATATTTTAAATAGCAAAGGTTTTTTTATACCTAGGGTCATGGGCTCTCCCTCACTGGAGGTCTTCATGAGGCAGCAGGGCATGCATCTGTCAGGCAAGCATGGAGCAGGGGGTTGAACTCCATGGCCTTCTGGGCACCTTCCAACTCTACTATTCTATGAGTCTATGGTGAGTTTGGCAGACAGGAACAGCCAATTACCCAAGGATCAGATTGGCTCAAAGACCATGACGATCACGTTAAGAACTAAAGTCATGGTTTATAGGCTATGCTCTGCTTCCCTGTCATATTCAGCTGCTTGGGATGCCCTGATTGCATTGATTCTCCTTTTACTGATCACTTCAGGCTTCTCTTCTGCTCATCTACCCTCCAGCCATGTTCTGTGGGGGCATAATATGCCTTCCAGCCCTAATTTCTCTCTTACTTCCTATTCCCAGTAAATGTAAACTCTGCTTTTTGCTGGTAGATGGAAATATGCTGGGCTGCATGCACCAAGCCTACACATCATCATCATGACGTCTCATTTTGATCATCCCCAAGTGCAGGACATGGAATAATGGACTCAAGGTATATGAAGCCAAAAGAACTTGCAGACTATTAGAGTGATACAGCAATGTAAACCAATTACCAACAGAAGGCACGGGTTTTACCACACTGGAGACATTCACGATGCAGTTGGACGGCCATCTGCCAGTGCTGTGTGCTGTCGTCTCCAACTTAAGATGACCCTATAAACGAAAGCATCCCAGAATATCCTATCCATGACAGCCATGCTCTGCTCTTGGAAACTCAAGGCTGTGGCTTCTTTGATGAATGTGCTAACTGGGAGCCCTGCACGGAGCAGGGGGTCGGACCCATTAGCCTAACTGACCCTCTCCATCTCTGCTATTCTATGACTCTATGAAGAACAGGGAGAGATGATAATGAAGGGACATCACACTGTTTGATGTTGTGGGGTCCACTCTCACATAGGAACCATCCCTTCCCAGCACATGGCCACATAATCTTTGGTTCTTCATAGTCCCCTAGTGCTTCTGGGTGCCATATCCTTTTGGGTACCTTGAAAGGAGAAAGCTGATGTGAGACAATCTGGACCCATGATGGATCTCAGTACAGATGCCCATGTAGCTGTTTGTACCACCAAAGGATATAATGTGCATGATGGGCAGCACAGAACTGTCTGGTTAACAGTGGAGCTTTTAATTTGTATTAAATATTGTGGCCGCAGTGCTGCATACTGTATGTGACAAACTATTGTTTAAAATTCTTGGCTTTCAAATGTGTTTTCTGATACAGTAAAAGGAACACAGGTTAAAGGGGTGGGGGAGGAGTTGAATGGAAACTTCTGAACATCATCACACACATCCAAAGTGTCTGCTGGTTCATAAGGATAACCATCACCATTTCAGTCAGTGGTAACCTTCTAGCACAGAGGCAGTATGTCTCTGAGAGCCAGTATAATGTAGTGGTTGGAAGTGCTGAACTGGGCCTCGGGAATTCCAGGTTCTAGTCTCTGCTCAGCCATGAAGCTTACTGGGTGAATGACCAGACTCTGATTTTCAGTCTAGCCTACTTCACAAAGTTGTTGTGAGAATAAAATGGAGAGGAGGGTGATGTAATCTGCCTTGCAGGAGGCAGAAATGTCATCACCATGAGACCCAAGTGTTGGAGACAAACAGAGTGGCGACTGCTTTCAGTGACAGGTTTATGAGCTTCCACGGGGGTATCTGCTTAGCTCCTGAGCACTGGGTAGGATTAACCTTTGCCATTCGGAAAGGAGCTCTCCTCTGCCTGCTCTCCTACTTAAAGTGTGTCAACTCTCCACTCATAGGAACAAATGGCGAAATAAAGAAGGAAGTTCTTAATCCAGATGATGTAGTTGGCTTGGGCAAATTCTTGGCATTTGCCCCCAGGTAACCTTACTGCCAGTGGTGTAGGGTCTGTTTCCTCAGCATTTGGAAATTAGCCACTCCACCTCAGAACATCCTGGAGACAATTTTACTTCTGATTTCAGAGTTTAGCCTTTTCTACAAATAGAAATAAATGAAAAATGACTCATTTACTCTTGTCATTGGTTATCATTTCATTATTATATTTTTTAAAAAGAGGTTGCTCCTGAAAGCCATTACTTGTAATAAATTTATAAGCCAGCATACTTTTTCTCCTGTAATTATTCATTTAAACAAGGCAAACCATCTAATTTGCCCCTGTCCTGAGCAGTTGTGTGAAGAACAGACAGGTTGTTAATTAAGACTAAGGACAAGTAAAAGCTTGGATCCAAATATTCGAACTTCCTCTTGCTCCCAGCATTCTCAAAGCAAAGTCCCCTCCCCAGGGTCTGGGCAGCCTTGTGCCACTTTGATGTTTCTTGAGATAACTGCAGCCACCGTCTCACTTACGAGGTGATAATGCTGGCAGGGGCAGTACAGGTAAGGCTGGCCGGTCAACTGTCCTCCACTGGAGAGTGCATTTGGACATCCTGGCATGCTTCATGGCAACCATCACAAAGGCTGGAACTATTGCTCCACTTTTCACAATCAGAGAAAATGCACAGCACACGAATCTTCAAATATCCACCTTGTCAGAGAAAGTATTGAGTTTATTTCTTTGTAGGATCTCTTCTCTGATTGTATTTTATTTCTATTTTAATTTTCCCCACAACTCATCAAATAAAGGCAGGACCTGGATTATCCTTGTAGTAGAACAGGACAGTTTACCATGCAAAGATGAAGAGCTATTGTAGCTAATCTTCATACTGCAAAACCACGGACAACCTCTCTTAAAAAGCAGCCAGGCGATAATAGCATAACATGTTGGTTTGGTGGTTATTTTGTTTGATTTGTTTTAAATGCCGTAAGTTAGCAACTTAAGAGTTCATTTTTTTCTGAAATGAAAGGAGAGGGGTAATGCCTATTGGAATGAGTGAATGAATAAATAAATAAATAAACAAACAAACAATACTTAAAATGCTCTACAAAAAAAGAAAGAAAGAAAAGTAACCCCACAATACGTATTTATGACATGCAAGAGATTAAAAGAGAACGTTTTCAAGTTCTCTCATCCAAAGCAAAAATAAGATTAAAAAATAAAGTTATAGGAATTGCAGAAGAAAGCTCAGATTCATTTTGGTTTGCAAGTATCACATTTTGGAAGCATTGTTTCTACGGTATTTTGTATACCAGCAAAAGGCACCACAGGATCAACACAGCGAAATCCATGAGAGGCCGTTTGTGGGGTGTGATGAAGGAAGATAACAGCCTTCAGACATGTTCTTCATAAACGATGAGTCTAAATATTCCTACTGCAAACCTGTTCTTTCCATCTTGTCTTTTTCCTGTCTGGGGGCCTTTCCAGAGAACAGAAAGAGGCTTCCTTCCCTTTAGTGGTAAAGTAACCCTAGCCAAGACCTAGCGCTAGCAGTGCACCTTCTGGTCCGTCCATATGCACTGTAAGGAAAGGTGGTCTTATTACAAAAGGGACGGCCATTTGGCAGATGCTTGTCTTTTTCTTAAGTTTGTTTTTTAAAAGAGGGCTGTAGTTATGCTTCAGTATTTAAAGGGAGAAAAAAAGGGAGGAAAAGTTACAAAACCTGTAGGCTCGGTCACTGTTGTCTGTGTGGAATGAACTGGGAGAGGGAAAGCCTGGCCTTGCTGGTGTCTGCCAGTTTTTAAAAAAATACAAACCAGTACAAGGGCACTGTCTTGAGTGGTAAAGAAGGGAAAGGTTCTACCACTAGACACTCAGATCCAACCAAGAGAAGCACTTCTGCAATCTACTGATTTCAAAGGTAGAAAATCTAAATCATTGACAAACCAGTGGTGCTTAAAAGTGTTCAGCTTTTGCTGGATCATATCCTCAGGGAAAAAAAAGTGTGGTCATGGTAGAGGAGTTGTTGCTGATGTCCCAGACACTAGCCAATAGGCACCTGTAACAACTGTGCAGCAACGATATACATGGCACTTCAAAGAAAATTACTCCTCTAGTTGGTAAAAGGTAAAGGTTTTCCCATGACATTAAAGTCCAGTCATGTCTGACTCTTGAGGGCAGTGCTCATCTCCATTTCCTAGCCGAGGGAGTCAGTGTTTATCCGCAGTGAGTTTCCGTGGCCATGTGGCCAGCATGACTAAACACTGAGGTGCACACAACCCTGTTACCTGCCCACCAAAGTGGTACCTATTTATCTACTTGCATTTAGATGCTTCTGAACTGCAAGGTTGGCAGGAGCTGGGACAAAGCACGGGAGCTCACCCCATCTGAGAATTCGAATCGTCAACCTTTTGATCAACCAGCCCAGCAGCTCAGCAGTTTAAACCACTGTGCCACCCACAGTCCCTTCTCTAGTTGGAGAGGAGTGCAAATTCCATTTTCCCCCTCAGATAAAAGTAGCTAGCTGGGGCAAAAACACACATGCACCTTTCAGAACAACCAAGTTACAGTAAAATATTGTGTGATAAATATGCACAATTTGGACAAATTTGTCATCTGGAAATTTGTCATCTGGAAAGGCCCTGAGTTGACAAGAGGAATCTGCCAGTCGAAAGGGGAAAGAGTCAATTACAAGAAATGAAGTAGCAAAGGAAATTGATTTCCTGTTTGGGGAATGGTGTAAAACAAAAGCCAAAATCAAAAATAAGAGCTTAATGTGATACATCTTTGTTTTATGGGCTTGATGGATTTTTTTCTGTAAATATATTACTATAATCTTAACTTTATTATAAATTGGCAGGTGACTCTAGAACAGTATTTTTGAAGAAACTAAACCTATTAGCAAGTACTGGGTAAAATGAAAGCATGAGTAATTCAAGCTCGCTGTTGAATTAATGGTGTAACTTGATAGCTCTCAATACTTAGAAGTCAAATGTTTCTAATAGGGCTTTACTAACCCAATTTCTTAAGATTTGGGGAAAAGCAATAGATATTGGAATCTGAGTGCTTGCCTCTACATCAATAATGTCTGCAGAGGATTAATGAAACAAACAAAGAAGAAGACGAGGAAGAGGAGGAGGAGGGAGGAGGAGGAGAAAACAGAAGAAACACTTTAAAACTTGTGTTTGCTAGTATTCAGTACATAAGATTCCTAAGGAATATCATTTTTCCCCTCCTAGTTAACCTTGTCCTGAAATATATACAGGTTATTTGTTGCTGCCACTGCTATGATATTTTCTGAGGGATGCCAAGCTGTATGCAGGATCTTTTTGCTAAAGTCCAGACTGTCCACGCTAATTTCATCTTTTCTCCGTTTGCCTCCCACACAAACTTTGCGAGGCTTCAGGATGGCACGTGGTTTGCTGTTTTCCCTTGATGCCTCCAGGGTCACATCACGCTTGGTGTTCCGATCAAACATTCTGAAGAAATTGTTGTAGGAGCCAGTCATGATGACACTAGGAAACAAGCAAAGAGGATGGGTGAAAATCGGACCATATTCCAGGGCAGGTGAAATGTAAAACCTTTCCCATGTTTCAAGTAACTTATTCTTTCCTTCCTGATCATCTGCTGCCACACACCATTTCTAAATGGCGCCGGTCCATGAGACTTTTCTGAGAGGGAAAGGGCTACAAGGATGCAGCTTTGCTGCAATGGATGTGGAATACTACATAGAAGAGGCGGCTATCGGTGGCCACTAGCCGTGCTAACTATGTGCTAACACCTTCATCAGCAGTGGCTTGCCTGCATTGGAGCAGTGGCGAGGCAGGAGGAGGTCCTGCACTCTTCCTGCTTGAGGGATCCTGTGTGAGGACCACAGGCACCTGGTTTGCCACCATGTGTATGGAGTGCAGAACGGATCTGCTCCAGCACGGCTTTTCTTATGTTCTTATACTGGATGTATGAGTGGAATCGGCTGGCCTCCTCACCCCTTTTTTGGCTGAGGTGAAGGCAGCGATTCCCCTTAATGGTGGTTTGGGTCCAGCGAGAAATGCCAGTTCACAGCCTTCAGAGAGTGGGAAAGGGAAAGAAGCTGGTGCTGTGCTGCACCTCCTGGCCAGTACTGCAAGGAGCTGGCCGGGAGGAACTGGCTAACGACGGGGCAAGAAGCAGGCAGGGAAGCAGGTGTACTAATCTGCAGCATACCTTCTTGCTAGCCTCTGATGCTTTCACTGGAATCCACACAATGATGAGTTATTAAAACAAACAAACAAACAAACAGTTCCGATAGCACTAACTATCTGATAGGAAGGAGATAATTCATAGACACAGGCTAGCAGGTCCAACAAACACCACTGCTGCCATATTATCCTCTGCTATATATAGGTAGAGGGGCCGCTGCTTGGAAACAAAGGACGATATGAATGCCCAACACACCTTTGGGGAATCAGGACATTTCTTCATCACCAGAGAAAGAAGAGGTGTGCCCCTGTCCTCACACCCCAAGCAACAATCACAAGCCAAGTCTTGTGACTGAAAATGCACTACGACAATAACAAGCTAATTATTAAGCTAAGAAAACAAGCCTGAATTACAGTAACAAGCTAATCTGATGTCTGATTGTACATTATGGATGATGGGACAAGCTTAAAGGACACCAAGCTCATTAAATCAGGACCCTCACACTTTAATTTCCTAATCAGCAATATTTTCAACTAAATGAGCTACCTGTTGACATTAAGATGCCAAATTAATTAACAATATTCAACAAAGTATAGGCAGAAATGCTTCAGATGGCTCCCCTCATTTCCAAGTTTCCAACGTAGAGAACCACTTAGTATAGAAAAATAAACTCTGGCTTTGCATGTATAAACCTTCTTAAAAGCCTCCCTGAAGGAAGTCAGTATAAGATTCTATTCAGGGAGCAAAGCTCCCTTGATCAGGAATAAGTAAAATAAGGCATTTTCTGATGGGGTAGCTATGTGAGGCACCCTTCAAACAGTCCTCACAAATCAAACTGGGACTAGGGAGACAGTTTCTACCGCAAATGGACGAAACATCCAGCCAGGCCACCATGTTCAAATCCCCTGTCCAAGGAAGCATTCCCTCTTCAAGGTTCACCCCCTTACCTTTCCCGTGTTGGTGCTCTGTGTCACTAGAAGTGCCATCATGAAATGCCATGAGATTTATGAAAGCTTTATTGCTTGCTTGTTTCTGATTAATAGGTTTTATATTTTGTTTGGCTTCATGTTTAGAGCCAAATGACTCCACACCATGAAGAAGAAGAAGAAGGAGAAGGAGAAGGAGAAGGAGAAGGAGAAGGAGAAGGAGAAGGAGAGTGTAAAGCAAATAAGGAATCATCAGTTGGGGACCTTTTATATAACTACTGAAAATTGCTCCATACCTGTCCGACCCATTCCATACACATTCAAATTTATCAAAAATGCAGTCGTTCTCATAGAGGGAGCACAGCTTGCTGCGGAGGTAATCATGAACCTGAAGAAAAAGACATGGGCACAAAGAAGGAAAGAAGAGCAGTGTTTAGTAGGAATTACATGCTAAAGCTTGACATTCAAAGAACCAAAGACACCTTGTAGCTAATTCTCTGCATTATAGAAACCTGTAGACCTAGATTCTTGTTGTACAATGGAGAGTTACAGAGTTTATTACTCATTCAGGAACATGAATCAAAAGAATAACGCTTGTGATCAAAATACTTGGGAAGAACTGAGAAGCTGCATGGGGGGAAAACTGCCACATTATGCAAGGAGAGAAAAAGAAAAGGGGAAGGACAGCCTCAAAAATAATCCACCAGTGGGAGAAAGAAGGAGCCATGGATTCATTTAGGTACTGAAAGCTTCACTGAAGGAAGAAGCTGTTGATGAACAGATTCATACCACACTGTCTGCCGGAAATGTTTACTGTCACTAGCAAGCACCTGGGACATGAAGGAACCAATGGAGCACATATAAACATAGAAAAATCATGCTGGATCAGACCAAAGGTCCATCTAGTCCAAGATTCAGTACACATGGTGACAACCAACTGCTCAAAGGGTTGCTCAAGCAGGATGGGTGCAAGACCTTTGCCTACCCAAGTTCCTCATCAACTGGTGCATGTAGCCATGTCCACCTCTGATGAAAGAGGTAGCTCACAGCCAGTAATGCTAGCTACAGATAGTCTCTACTTCCACGAACCTGTCCAATCCTTTTTTAAAGCCTTCTAGATTTGTTGCCATCACTTCTTCCCATGGCAGTCAATTCTTTATTTTTACTATGCATTGTGTGAAGAAGTACTCTCTTTTGTCTGTCCTAAACCTTCCCCCAGTCAGCATCATAGGATGATCCTCAGTTTGAATGTCATGGGAATGGGAGAAATGTCTCCCCCACCATTTTCTCCATTCTGTGCATAATTTTAAAGTCCTCTATCATGTCTCCCCTTACTCCCCTCTTTTCCAAGCTGAACATTCCCAGGTTTTGCATGGGAATGCTCCAGCCCCTTGATCATTATCCTTGCCTTTTCTGTATTTTTTCAATCCAATAATGTTCTTATTCAGATGATGTGACCAGAATTGAACACAGCAGTCTTAAGTGCGGCCACACTAAGTATTTGTACAAGGAGAGTAAAATCTTGGCAATTCTATTTTCTTTTCCGTTCCTAATTATGCCTAGCATGGAGTTTTGCCTTTTTTGCATCAGCCATACACCGGGCCAACATTTTCATCAAGCTGTCCACTACCACCCCAAGATCTCTTTCTTGCTTTGTTGCTGCTAGTTCTGATCCCATCACTTGTACATGTAATTGGGATTCCCCTGCCCCCATTTTTAATATGTATGGAATGGGTCTGACATATATTGAACTGCATTTGCTATTTCAGCCCATTTCCCCAGCTTGGTGAGATCCCTTTGGAGTGCCTCACAATCCCTCATTGTTTTGATCATTCTAAATAGTTTGGTGTCACCAACAAACTGGGGCACTTCACTGCTTACTCCTAATTACAGTTCATGTATGAATAGGTGGAAAAGAATTGGTCCTAATACAGAACCCTGAGGAACTTCACTGGTGACATCTCTTCATTGGGGGAAGTTCTCACTTTGTCCCACTCTCTGTTGTTCAACCACTCAGTGATCCTTAAGAGGACTTCACCTTTCATTCTGTGAGTGTTTAGTTTGCATAGGAGCCTTTGGTGAGGGACTTTATCTAAAGCCTTTTGGAAGTCCAAATAAACAATGTCTACTGGATTGCCCCTGTCTGTCACATGAGTTGTTGGAAGATTCTGTGGCTCACGGGCAGAGCACATGTTTTGCATGCAGAAGATCCGAGGCCCAATGCCAGGAATCCCCAGAAAGAGACTGCCATGGGGGGAAGCTGGGAAAGATGTTTGCCTTAGAGCTTAGAGTGGGGCTGCCGGCCCAAAAAGGCAATCCTGGATGAGATGGACCACTGGTCTGACTCTGCATACAAGTATTTCATAAATGATTTGACCCTCAAAGCATATTTCCTCAGAGAAGCCTAACTCTCTGTTAGGCAGAGAACATAAGCAAATTCTAATTCTAATCTTGGCTCACTCGTTCTGCAACCTTAGGGTAAGTATAACATTTTGCAAACAGCCTTGAATCATGCCACTTTCCAGAAGATTGGTTCACTCATGAGAAATCACAACAATGATCCTCATGATGCACCGCAGAGAAAGAGGTACCCTGCCAGACAGGTATGCCTGATCAAGATGTCACCATAGCAGCAGTAGCAATAAACAGTGGAGGGACTGGGTATGTTTGACAGTGCTTTACATACATGACCTTCATCCCTTTCCAGCACTCCAATCGTGCTGAGAGTCAAGTACCTGGTATGTCTCAATAGGCCTGTTCTCCATGCTCAGGTCCCACACCTTGACGGTGAGATAGTCCCTGGTCATGATGTACCTTCCACTGTGACTGAACTTCACATCAGAAATTGAAGAGATGATCTCAGAAAAAAATGACCTGTTACTTGGGTCTTCGGGTTCTTCAAAAACTGCACAGCATGTAAAAGATAAGCAAAATAAGATAAAGCAAAGTCAAGACACACATTGGTAGGATTCAGGTCAATACGGTAAATATTCAAGTATCCTATTTCTATGCATGAACGATTTTAATGGCAAGTGGTTAAAGTTTAACACAATGTTCAGCATAACAGGGTAGTTGTGATTTCACAGAAAGAGGCCATAAATACTCGAGGTAGGTTCCTGTGAAAAGAATGCCACTGACGGCACGATCCTATTGGGATTCCCATAACCCTCCAAACTCAGGGGATTACAGGCATCCCATGAAGGGCAGGAGGAACATGGAGGTAAAGACTGCCTCCCACCATCCTGTGTAACAGCTGGCCATCTAACAGCAGCACTTCACCCTGGGAGAGAAGGAGGTTGAGGCAATGCCAGGATACATTACATGCCGCTGATTTTCCCTGCTCCCTGTGCCCTGCTAAGCCCACTAAAACACTCCCCTCCAAGGTTGCATTTGTGACCTTGGAAAAGCTGCCAGTGCAGTTCTTTCCACACCAGCTGTGAGGAGGTGGAGGGGGAACCCAAGTACATGTCCCCAGCTCCAAGGCTGGAGCAGTTTTCAGACCTCAGACTGGGAATCTCAGCAATCTTCTGGCTCCCTAGACACCGCCTAGGGTCACAGGATTGCTCTGTTAGGCAGTGCTTTTCTACATAGTTATCTGCAGTAAACTTCACTGAACTCAAGGGGACTATCTTCTGAGCAAGGAATCATATAGAATTATATTGTCAGTTTTTAAGTTGTTCTGGGGATTTGATTGAGGTGTGCTCTGTATATTTGAAAAAGCTCAACACAATGGAGGAAGGGAAAGATAAGCTCTGTTTTAAAAACATATCACATAAGTAAATTCTATCGATACTAGATGCTTCCAAGTAAGGACAGCAATGAAAAATCTCTTCTGTTTTTATTTTAATAAAAAGCACACAATTTCATGAATTTACCCTAAGAGTTGTAAGTCTAGTACAAAGCCTGGTTTAAAAACTGAAGCCTGTTTGTGGGTGGCTCCCCCACCCTTAAAAAAAGCAGTCTAGCTTCTTTTCAAACTCTTCCTCCTGCTTCATGACAAAGTGGGGGGGGGTATGCAGTGGGGGCAGAAGAACCCAGGGGTGACCCTGTAGTCTTAACAAGATCCTGTTCTGCAGCCCCTGGGGTGTAATTGCTGGGGAGGAAGGCTCCTGCTTTGTTTGCCTTCCGTTCGTCTGACAATTTCAAACTCCATCAAACTAGGTTTATTTGCATTTCTCTATTTCTGTGCAAGGCACCTTACAATCCTCTTCAGTGTCATTAAAAAAACAACAACCTTGGACTATAAAATATTCATTTCGTAAATTAAAATGCAAAAGTACAAAACGAGCTTTCACCTGGGTGCTGAATGCATCGCAGGAAGCCATCCAAGGCAAAGAACAGTCCTGGCAGCCAAAGCAGGTGCTGCATGAATGCAACTGCCTTTATCCTACTTTTTGGCTGGTCGGGTGCTGTCTTCTAAGGAACCAAGCATGGGCCTCTCAGAGGGTCAGAAGGCAGAGGCCACAACCATTTGGCTAACGCAAGGCTGGTGAAGCCATGTGTTTTCACTCTGGTCTCTGTAACTGAGGAGGCTCTGCTTACCCTTCTGGCTGCCTGGGTTAGTTGCCAAAATCTTTCTGGGTCAGCATGATCCAAGGCCAAGCAGGGAATTCTTCCTGACACCTGTATCCAGGAAGCCCAGACCTTTTGCCTTCTATTTCAGATTGTCTGCCCAAGAATTCTCCTTCCATCTGTCTTGCGTCTGTGATGGAACTGCCACCCATATGCTGACCTCTACTTTCACCTGAGTAAGCATAGGCCTTGTGTCCTCGAGATAGTGCAGTGGGTTTGAGGTTAGTTTGAATGCCCTCTCAGGAATCGTCCCAAACCTGAGTCTGTGGTTGTGAAAAGAGGCTTCTAGACTGAGTGAACCAGTTGGGCAACTTTAGCCAGGAGGAATCTGTGCCCTGATGTAGCTTAGCTCTGTGCTCTCTACCCTTAGAGACAGCCATACGTAGACTTTTCTGGAAAGGAGCTTATTTTCCTCTACTCCGTCTCTAAGGAATATGTTATTTCAGAAGTCTGTGAGAACAACAGTCACAGGTTGTGTGTAGCAGTCAATTTGTGCTGAAGTTGGATCTGAAAAGAGGCAGAGGGCAACTTTGCTCTCTTCAAGAAGCCTAATGACATGATGGCTACCACAGTCAGCTGAAGGGGGAAGAGCCTGTTGGAAATGCCCATGCTCTGGACCCTCATCTTTTGCTCAATCTGGACATGTGCATAAATAAATACAACATTACACAAACACTGTAAGTCTCCAGTTATCTCCATCGAAGGAAACTGAACCCTGAATGGGTGCTGGAAACCTTGAACCTTCCCACCACTCAGAAGTGAGCTGCACTCACATGACAGTACATTAGAACGAGAACACTTATTGTCAGAAAATTTACTGTTCCCTACCATCAGCCACCAAGCCATCAATTAGTGGTACAGGAAGAACTTATATCAATCCTGACACCAATTTCAGAGATGTAAAGCTTTATGAGTCAATCAATACATGGTGTTAGCCAATGCAAGTCAATAAAGAGATTTCAGAGCAGCCACAATAATCTAGTTTAGTATAATAAATCACAACCTGAATGGCCCTGGATTAATGAAACACTGCAGTTAAGTCCCTATTTGTTAGTAAAATCTCAAGGAACCATCCAATGGGCAAGTTTTAGGAGCCCATCCAGGCCTTTATTTGAATGTTATGCAAATACAATCATCCTCAGATATTACTGTATCGCAGAAAAGCTTGGGGAATACATTGTCCATTGGCAGTTTAATTTAATCATTATGAGTTACAGTGGTTTAAGCATTCTCCTACATGTCCCTACATGAATTCTTAAATGTCCGAGGACTATTGCTTCCACCACCCCATAAGGCTAGAAGTGATGTATATTGAAATGGCTCTAGCACACTGTTGTGGCTGAAATGGGAAATGTGCATACAAAAATAAAGCTTAAGAAAAATTGTCAGGCACCAGCATTTCTTCTGAGCTGCATACTTAGTGTAAAGTTGTGTGAAACACCTACACGTCCCTTGGAAAGGTAAGGATACACTTGACACTTTGGTACCAAGAAATAGAAAAGGAAGTCTGACTTTGGAAGTGAAAGGTTGAAAAAAAACTGCAAAAGCCTGCCAAGGCGCAATTTCCTTTTTTCAACAGAAAGAGTTGGTTAGGGTTCACCTCTAACAATAAGGTCTAACTGAACACTGAGCAATAAGCTCCTGAATTTTGGAATATGGTATGCACAGGAACAGAAAAAACAATCTGAAGTGCTAGGATAAATGATCACTCTACAAATCTGAAATGGCACTGCTCACAGCAGTTTCTAGCTTGAAGTCCTTTGGTGCCAGCAGGAAATCTGATGACTTATGAGTTTTTTGAAAATAAAATAAAAACATCAACAAGGGAGGTGTGTGTGTGTGTGTGTGTGTGTGTGTGGAATCAGGATCTGAGCTGGCTTGTGCAAAGAGTCTAACTTCTACGTGAGCTTGTCGGGGCTGTAATAATTATGGGCTCTGGCACACCGGGGGGCAGGATTTGGGAGGAATTTTAACAGCTGCATATTTTCTTTGAGTTGCTATGTGTCTGCTACAGCCAAGGTTGACAATACTCTAAAGTGACAGCAGACGTGAAGGGCTGGTGGTTGCTGATGCGGAAAGTGCAAATTTCCACACACCATCAAAATGTCTGAACTTGTAGCACGTGAAAAACTCAGGACAACCTACATGCCATACAGTCCATTTTTAGTTTTAATTAAAGCTTCTAAATTGAGAGGAGCAGGAGCACTGGGAATGGGGAAGAATAATCCTTCTCCTACCTATCTTCCTGATCTAAATCCTGCAAAGCTGCTATTAACCATACAGAAACACATATGCAGGCACCCCGCCCACCTTTCAGTCATTCTTGCTTGGTTTCTCTCTATGTGACTATGTGCATACATACACGCATAGTGTAAGTTAGATTAGTCTTAAAAATCAGGTACCTGTGATGGGTGCTGTGCAAGAGAGTCAAGTAGCACGGACTCCGTTAGGAAAGACCGAGCAAACATGCGCCAGCGTGTCTTTTTGCACCCAGCCCAGTGGTCCAGGATGAGGATTATACGTACAGACAGACAGCTTTAAAAATGGGCTTGGATGTAGCTTCCTTGAATTGGGCCTGCACACAAACACTGCTCCAGAAGCCACCTCCTAACAATGCATTTAGTCAAGGCCACTTTGAAACAATGCCTGCTTTGTGCTTTATTCATCAAAAGAATGACATAAGAGACCTTCCTTCCCACATTTCCCATCTTCATTATCTGCAATTACTATGAATGCAAAGTGAAAATTGGAAATACCGAAATCTATGAACTGTCTTGTTATCAACGGCCATATGGTGCTCCTTCAAAAAACTCCTACAATTGGAGTCTTGATGGTACCATGACAACTGGCGCATAGCGAGCTTCAGGCTTCATCATCACCTACTAATGGCCAACTATGGGGGCCTATTCCAATTGAGAAGTGTCTCCTTGGATAGAGGAGGCTGCCAATCTGTACAAGCAGTAGTCCCCAACTGAGATGACAAAGGACTGCTTTGCTATTAGTAAAAAGCACTGTTGAGTAACGGCGAAAAGGGTGGATAATCACTTGTTTTTGCCTATTGTTGCTGTTTTAGTAGAATTACTCTCTGTTGGGAGTTATCCAGTAAGTTTCTACATGCCTACACTGATTCCAAAACTGTGTGGAAGTCCATATACCTCACAGCAAGTAAAAATAACACCACCAACCACAACAAAATGATGGTGCTGTTACTTCCTATGTACTAAAAGGGCATCAAGACGTTGCCTTCTTCTACATTTTTCTTGGCTTACATCATGTTGGTATTATGGAGACTACATAAAATGGGACTTTGTATCTCCAAAATGTCTTGCCTGA